ACTAGCCTTTATCAACTGAAAAGTAAAAGATGTTTTTGAAGACACAGATCCTCATCACAGAAAGTTCTTTAGCAAGAGGGTTAATTTTCCACAACACAGGAGATGTCTTTATTTGGGCAAAGACTAAAATAAGCTATTGTCTTTGGACACACAGACATGCAAAAAACACACCAGAACAAGTATACAAAACCCTTACACTTAACAAACACATCAGTCATCTCCGCTTCTTATTGAGGCATTGAAACTCTTTCCACCTTTTTTACACTGTTGCACCTACCTGAAGAAGCTCACATTTTGTTTCTTTAGCATACTTTTGCTCTTCCCTTTTCCTAAAAGGGAAACTTCTGTGGCAGCAAGCAAAAGAAGCAAAAGAAAATTTTTTTTGTAACTCTTGCATTCTAATCAGTAACTATTTATATTTTGTTTTCCCCACATACTTTATTAGAATTTGTCTATTTCATGGGCTTTATTGCAGATTTCGGCCGAAATTTTATGACAGTCCTCAAACATGGCAGCCACACAGATGGGAAAATGCAGGTCCAAAAATGCCACGTGACTCCTTCATGGCCAGGCTGTTGACCTTGTATCTGCTACCACTTAAATCAATAAGAAATTTCTCTTTATCTTCACCAAGTAGCAAACCCATTGTACAAAACCTATATTTAAAAGCAGCAGCAGTAAGATAAATTTTAAGATACAAATATTTAAACACATAGATCTCTAATTCAGTAATACTTCTTTTTCTTTGAGATCTCCATGACTCTTAATGTGATTTATATCACCTGATTATTTTCCTCAAAGACCACAAGGAAAAACACTATCAATCTCTCAAACTCCTTATTTGCACGGCATTTTCTCTTGTTTCATAGAGTCTCACTTCAGTTGCAGTTAAATGGGCAGTCAGAATTCATCCCTTGTAGCAAATAGTTAATTTATAGTAAGACTGAGAAGAAATTATTGTCATATCACTTTGGCCAACAGTACCAAGGAAGACAGTAAGTACACGTGTGACAACATGAAGAAACAGGAAGATGCATACTTCTTACAATTCACTGATATACTCTCAAACAGAGACCTTTGCATGTTCTCTGAGACAAAGAGGAAGGTCTGCAGGAGCCTGGTTGTGACTCACATTGGTAAGACACTTAACATCTTGGACATTTTTAAGATATAGGGGGAAAATAGCCCAGCACAAAGCCTAAGCATCAATCTGGGTGATGCAGAGGCAGTATAAAAGGAGTGTCTTAGCAGGGCATGTAGCTTGGATTGGGATGCTGTCAGTGTGGTGTTTCCCTTGGTTCAAAGCCAAACAAGATTAACCTCTGTTCAAAATGTGCAGCTGAACTCTGGCTTATTGTGACACTCTGCCCAGACATGGGCATAGACCAACTCTCATTCCTGGGTGAAGCAGCTCTTCCTGAGTGTAGATAAACTGTCAAGCAGGGACATTTTGTTCAACTCTTACTAGGGATTTTTCAGTTTTGGGATTGATCACCCCATGAGCTTGGTAGCACAGGGACCACAAGGTGGCAAGACTGATTTTTTCACGCCTTGCATTGTGGTGCATCCTGTTGTCTGAACAAGGTGCAACCCACACTCAGAACCCATGAATGGCCTCGTCAGCACCTGCTGGGGACCTGCCTGAGCCGAGGAATAGGAAACTGAAGAGGAAGAGGGTGTCCATAGAATCTACCCCTCTTGGGAACTGGTCTCATTCCAGGTCTAGACAAGCCCATGTAGGACAGATTCTTCTGTGTTCTTCTCTGGTGGCAGATAGCTTTGTCTTCCATTGGAGTAGGCACTGCAACTTCCCCCTCCTGTGAAACATTTTTGCTTTAGTTGAATAGTTTTGTAATAGTCTTATATTACGTCTCAGTTTACGGACCAGCCTGGACCATCTCTGGTGGTTCCTACTCTAGAAACTGTGGGATCTGCATGGAAGGACTAAGTATTTGGGGCTTGCAAAAGCAATGAGCAAAATTTATGGCTATATGAATTTTCTTGAGAGGAGAGAAGTGTGGGCTTTCCATTCCTGTGAGAGCTGATGTACTTTAGAAGCTGAATTCAGGAAACTTCATTGTCACAGCAAAGGTCCCTGAAGGTCTCAAGCACATCCAGCTCAGGCTCAGTTTGTGGACAGTTCTGAGGGCTGCGTATCAGACTTGATGTACTTGCATGGATGGCCTTTGACCCAGTGTCCTGCACACCAGGATGGGTGTGGGTTCATAGCAGAGGTCTGGAGCCACAGCCCCCTCTGCTTTAACACCGTCAGACTTTGCCCCTTCCTCAGTTCCACTGCCCTCACAGCCATCCCCAGAGGTTCCTGTACACAGGAACCTTTGTTGCCCAGTGCCTTACTCCCAGGTGAGTTTTACAATGGGCCTCTATCTCAGAGCACTGGTGAGAGGGACTGAACTTCAGACCTTCAAGCAGTGCTACCACAGGGGTGGGTATGCTCAGGAATTGCTTTCAGACGCTAAACGTCACATCCCTCACAAGCACTTTCCCTGCTGGTCAAACTGCTCCTTCAGCAGGCCAAAACCAAGCCCCTCGCAGGATCAGGTGTAAGGATGAGCTGGGACTTAGCATGCCCAGCCCAGGACAGCCCTTGCTCATGATAGGTCACCCTGCAGGAGCTGGGAGTTGAAGTGGATTTTTTTTTACTTTTCAAAACCTATTTTCTAGTAACATTATGCAACTCCTGTTGTATCTTGGTTTGTTGTCATTTGCAGTTAAGCCTGAAGCCCCATTTGCTATAAACATCACTTATCAAAGGGAGGCAAATGAGTATCTGATTCGTTACCGTACACCACACTCGGAGAAGAAATACCTAGAGGGGAAATTAATTCACCAAGTAGCCTATCGGCAGAAAGAAGGTACTTGGAAGGTAGGTGATGATGTATTGCTGTGGTTTGCACTGCTTTCCAAAATTAAACATTTTCAAAATTACCAGTAGCATGTAAATATTTGCAAATCTGCATTTCTGCAGTTCTCCAGCTGAAAACTTGGAAAAGTGCAATGTTTGGCATTTGTAAATTTCATAAGTCAAAACAATTAAGGCCGGCAGTACCCTTCTCAGTTAGACACTTCTCTGGGCTAATAAAGTTTCTTTCGTTTAGGTTTTGCAGTGGGAAGAAAAGACACAGTGTGGTAAAGCATTCTAAGTGTTTGGATGGTTTTGCTCTTTGCTGTGGTATTTTTGCTCTTATTTTCTGTGCTCATCAGCCAGTAGAATGTATGACCTCTTTTCCTATTTAGCAAGTTTCTTCACCTTCCCTTTTGCACTGAGTCCTTCCAGGCTTTGGGTGTGGCCCTGCAGCTCTCCCACCCTCGAATTGAGGCTGCAGCTGCTTTGTGAGCTGGGTCTGGTTTGGGCTGCCCAGCTGCAGGGACCTCTGTATTCCCTATCACAAAGGCAGACATGCAAATACAAGTCACAGTGTTTGAAAGCATGGGCTACACCTGTTTTTTGTGGAGGGAACACAGTGTTGTCCACAGTTTTTACAGAGGGAACAAATAGAATTTGTTACACAGTGTGCAATGAGCCAATAATGATATGAGAGAGAGAGACATTGATTATTTGTTTCAGAACTGTGCAAGCCTGGGTGCCCAGTGGTATTCCACAAATCAAGCACCCAGCTATCAAAACTTTTAACTATTTTATATTACTATACGTTATATTACTATAGATTTTAGCAAACAATGGAATTAGTGTTTGTTGGCTACAAGTTAAATAGTTCTTTTATTAATTAATATTCTTCTTTCTATTGGTTAATAATTCACTCACTTCTGTTGTTAATTAGTCTCCATGTTCAGTTTTTCTCTTCTTCTGGGTTGGTGGGTTTCTTGGGTTGGTGATTTTTGAGTAGGTGGTCATGATCTGGCCCTGCTGGACATAGTTTTTACCCAGCTGGAGCTAATTTCAGCACATTTGCTGAGTTGTTTTTTTCCAGTTTCTTCCTTATCTTGGGAGTTCTGCCAGATGTCCTTGTGGCTGTAAATTCTGCATTCTTTGTGTCCACTATCAGTGGTATATCCTTCTTCCCAAGCTTCGTTAACCTCCCCCTAAGTCTGAGATAATTCAAACACTTCAAGCCCTAAATCACAACAAGACAATTCTACAAACAAGTTTTTCTAACACCTGGGCATCACTTGGAGCTTGTTAGCTGCTGTCTGTTTCGTGGATTAAATCTCCTTTCTTGTTGATTAGGCCTGAAAATATACAAAGATCAGATATCAAAAGACAACCTTTCTTAAGAAGGTTTTATGTACTCCACATTCGCAATAACAGAAGAACTGTAACTAGAAAGAGGGAAAAAAAAAGGGGGGGGGGGGTCAGGCAGCAAAATACATTGAAATAAAGAGCACCAGAGCTGTACCGTGTCATTTCAGCTTCAGAGTTCCCTGTAACTGCTCTTTCAGAAGTCGTCTTTTTATGCTTCACAAATCTATTTTTTCACCTTTCTCTTCTGAGCCTTCCTAGGGAAGCATGTATTTCCCACTGCAGTGTCAAAATTGGCAAAGCACAGTTGATAGTTTTCCAGTGAGCTTTTACTTGTCATTTGTCTTCTTCTCAATACTGTCTGGACTACCTTGCTGTTGAACTAGGTTGATGACCTGATAAGCACCTGTGTAATAACAAAAGGCATGGAACAAACAGCACAATGTTGCAGGGATGCACCTGATCTCACACATTTTGCTGAAACTCAAAGATAATTCTCCATTGTCTGCTGGAAAAATAACTGGATTTTTTTTGTGTGTTTAGACAATAGAGTCGCCACACCATCACGTAAGATTATTGGGACAAAACCTCGAAAATAATGCATCATATGAGGTGAAAGTACGTTCACAACCCAACGGAAAATTTTTTAAGGGCACATGGAGTGAGTGGAGCATTTCCAAGAGCTTCAGGACAGCAAGAGAGCAGCACTCCACAGAGAGCTGTAAGGGCAGAAAATGCTTTGGTCTACCTGAAGGAAAGCAGAGGTGGGGGTCCTGGGCTCCCTGGACAACCTCAGCAGCAGCAGGGATGAGAGCATGGGGAGGGAAGATCCCACAGCCACAGTAGGGTCAGCCCTCACAGACACCAGGCACCCTAAGGAGGGGACTAAAAAAGCAGTTATATCACTCTGGACTGGGGCTGACTCTCCATGTGAATTTAAATCTCACTCACAGGCAATAAATTCAGAGGAGTTGCTGCTATAAGCGCATGAGAGGGTGGGTGCAGAGGGAGCTGCCAGCTGGCTTGCAAGAAAAGGAAGAGCTGGCACTGAGTGTTTTGGGTAAGGCACAAAGAGCTATGAAACATGACCTATTTTAGGGCCCTGGATTTGTGTGCACACATGGAGCTTTAATCACAACCACAACACAGGCTAAAATCTCATCACCACACTTGTAAATGTGAAAAATCCTTGTAGTCCTTAGGGTCCCTTCAGTACCCAGCAGCATTACGTGTGTTGGAAGCCGTTTCAGTGCTGCTGCCAGAACACAGCAGGTGGTGGTTTCAATGCACTGGAGATGACAGCAGACTCAAACTGCTTTAATCCAGTCTGGGAATCCAGTTTGGAGCTCAGCCAAGTGCTGATGCTCTGGCAACCTACCTTTTTCCTCCTCCAGAGAGACAGGAGAAATGGATCATTGCACCAGTCCAATGATAGGCAAGTGCAATTCTTGGTATGAATTCCCAATTTATCATCTGAAAAGACATCACAGTTACAGTGGCTTAACAGTGAGATGTTTACATGCGTTGGCTGATATTCTTTGTTTTTCTTCAGATAGCAGCGTGGTCATGATTATATTCTCCATCCTGGGACTCATGCTGTGCATTGTTATGATTGCATTGATCATAACTTTTTGGGAAAACAGGTAATCTAACTCTCTTAATATCAGAAAAAGTGTTGGAAGCCAATCCTGTTCTAACAGTCTTGCTGCTTTCCCCGCTGTACCTGTGAACTATCCCCTCTACATCTGTGGGCCTCTGTATCAAACTGAAGGGAGGGCAAGAGCAGAAATGGGCAATACAAGAGACAGTGTTGGCAGGCAGAAGATGAACTGCCACTTTGAGCAGAGTTCAGTCTTGAACCCAAAACACTGGGACTTTTGCAAGCCAAAGTCACCACAAAATATGTATAGAGTCACTGTCATGCTGGAGGGAGATTTGACTAAAAAGCAAGATCCAGAGGAAGAAAGTGACCTACAGGTTTTAGTAAAGTCCCAAGAGGTATGAAAATAGCATACCAGGGAGATTGCCTTTTTCCCTTTCACAGGCTGAGTCAGTGGGGTGTTTGCTCTGCAGCACTTTCAGAAGCAGCAAGGCAGAACCCTCTGCAAAAATGGGCTTGATCGTGTCAGGCACCAGCTCGGCCAGATCCACATCCAGCCAGCCATGTGCTGAATACTGGCTCCACATCCTCCACCACAGTAGTTACAGCAGAAGTGGGACTGGAGATAAATTCATTACCCAGGAAGCCATTTTTCTGCACTAGGGTTTTTTTATATATTTGCTACACAACAATAGACAGATAACTCTAAATACAATTTTAACCACACTGCTATATATATATTCATATAGCATTTAGAGTTTACAAATTCAAGGAAATTAACAGATATGCAGATAATCTGGTGACCCTAGAATCTGAAGGTTAACTCCTTGCAAGGTAGAAAGCCCAGGACTGTTTGATGGCTTTTAGGGCAGCCTGTCCATTACATCCAGCTCAAGAGAAGTGGCTGTGTGTAAGCTGCTTTTTCAGGACACCACTTGGGCTGTGCTAACTTCTGAGTTAAACATGGGGTTTGGCCTCAGCCAAACCATGACAAGAACAATTTTAACAATTAAACATTTTAGAACTGGAGTTATCTGCCCTAGTGCTGTTTGATTTGCAAGTACAGATGTAGCCTGAGATTTCTATTTCTTTCATTTTGCTGTTGCTGGCAACCTGCACTTCTCTAACTTTGCTAGAAGTTTTGCTTATGTAAAACTGTAGCAAAAACAGTTGAGACTTTTGGATCCCAGATATTTCCGTGTTAAAAAAAAAAAGAGGGGCTTATACATAGTGTATATTCACCCTCATATAGAGACACATAAATAAAATGAAACATAAATTCATATACATGCAGTTATATTTATATCATTGCAACATTGAATTTCAGTTGGACAATATTCTCTAGAGGCATCCTAGCTGGGGGTGTGCAGCAGAACAACATGAAAACTTTGTTAATCAAGGAGTAAAAATAAGACCTATGGGACAAGGCCACAGTACAGATATCTGAGGCACAAACAGCTGGCCAAAGAGTAGGACAATACATTGTTCTTTGACTTACGTAAACATGCAGAGGCAATTATCAACAAATTTGCACTTTAACCACAGCATCTTGCACTGGCAGAAACTGGTTTCACCACACAGAGCCCTGTTAACACAGCTAGATGCGAACAAGCTCCTTGCCAGCATAACTTGCTGCTTTTCCGGTACTTGGTGAAGTGTCTTTCTTTAACTATGACAATCTGTGCACTCAAGTGATCAACAGTGGCCTTTGCAACTCCTCTTCTCCTGTCTGTTTTATTCTATGACTTTTCTGTTGTTATTCTGGATAATGCAACCCAGTCCTGAAGCTTTGTTACTAATTTATTTATTTATTATTTATTAATTTTTTTATTATTTATTTATTATTACTTTATTACTAATGATGTAATATGAACCTCTGATACTTCAACATATCCCTCTTTTGCTGCTTTTTGTCTGCTGTTGCTGTTTCAGGATCAAGCCTGCTGTGTGGCCAAATCTTCCTGATCATAAAAAAACACTGGAGAAACTATGCAAGAAGCCAAAAAACGTATGTTCTTCCACTGCTTTTTCCACCTGAGTATAGAATCTTGGGGACAAAACTAATACTCATGAGACACAAGACTTGCATTTTCTGCATTAATTAGGACATCTTTCAGAAATTCTGCTATAATTCACTGAAAAGAGCCCACATTTGCACAGACAGATGCCAATAAAGGGTGTGGAAATAAAATACAATTCAACTAGTGCCTGAGCTTCAACTCACACAGAGTTACTACAGAAGGCTTGGGAAACTGATACATGAAGAAAGGCTGAAATAATTAAGGTTTTTTATAGAAACTGGATACAAGTAAAGAATCTTTCTCATGAGAATAATTAAACATTGTGTAGTTTGCCCAGAGACAAAGTAGGTTCTGCTTTGGGAAAATGTTCTGGATAACCCAATCCAGGTCACACTTCTCACACAAGGTTGGACTCCAGAGGCCCTTTCCAGCCAAGATGCTTTGGTGATTCTATGAAACTGTGATCATAGGGCTGGATGGGGATCTTTTGCAAGCATCCCTGGTGATGTCCAAGTACCCTTACATGGTCAGCAGAATTGTTCATACACATGCAGCACATGAACTACTCAGCCAGTTAAAAACCAGATGGGAAAATGCTACAAACCACAAGGTGTGGGTTTAATCTGTTGCGTTAAAACTGTATGTCTAGTTCAGTTTTTCACAAAGGAAGTCCCCAATGCTGTTGTCTCCAGTTGGTACATTATTAGCATGTTCTTAATTTAACACTTCTTAATTTAAGACACCTCTCCCACACCCTCTGCGCCCCACTGCAGGGATTCCTGATGTGTTTCAGGAAGTCATGGCAAACTTTTACTTCCTCTCTACTAAATTAAGAAGGTAAAACTGAAAGAAATTGCCTGGATGGACACACTCATTCTTTGAAATGGCAGGCATGCAACAGATGGGTGTGTCAGAAAAGTCTTTGAGACACCAGTTCCCACCACATTGTGTAGAGCATAAAACACTTTGCAGCATAAACTGCTACCTTTAGGAGGACACGGGACAGATCTAGATTAATAGGGAAAGGGATTTTCAGCCACTTAATAGCTTATTCTCTGCTAACCTGCTGTTCAGCGTGCTCAAGGTTACATCCAGAGTTAAAATCAAATAAATTATCAATGTGCCTTTTCACTTAAGCTATTACCCACTGTTAACTAACTGTGATGTTCCTTTTACCACACAGAATTTTGATATAAGCTTTAACCCAGAGAGTTTTGGTTATGTTCTTATCCATAAAGTGGACGGTATTCGGGCAAAAGCTGAACTGGAAAATTTCCTGCAGCCATCAATTTCTCCAGAGACAAGCCTTCCAGAAAAATTCAGGAGGGGATCAGACCTGAAGATGACACCTGTGATGACAGACAAAAGCAACCTAAACCTGTCTGTGACTTACGGAGGCATCTGTCTGGCTGAGGCCCCGCACAGACTCTTGGGCATAAGCCCGTTGGCAGTCACGGAAGAAAACTGCAGCTCCAGCACTTATGAGGTGTGCCACGGCAACAGGGTGCCCCTGCACAACAGTGGAGGTTCCAACCTTTCCTCTGCTCCTCCCCTGGATCCCTCTGGCCAACCCCATCCAGAGCCCACAGAGGATGACACTGTATCCCAGATGCTGCCTAACAGTGAAATGAGATCACCAAACAACGAGGAAGCCTACGTAACAATGTCCAGCTTCTACAAAATTCAGTAAACCTCGCAAGAACCACGTGTCTTTTTCTTTTCTCTAACAGAAGCAGGACACTTGAGCTTTCTGTTTTGTTTTCCTGTATCCTGTGAGTTCCCACCTCCTCCACTCACCCTGCTCACAGTGCAATGCCATATCTGCAAGAAAGTGGGTTCTCCTACATTCCAGCTAGAAGTAGCCTAACTTCAGCACTCAGTATGCTGCTAGCAGTCTCCACTGCAGCAGAAACTAAATTTAATTCAACCTGACTTTAATCTTCAAATCTGATTAATCCAGAGCAACAATAGTGCAGTCCCAGCTGAGGACCACAGCATGTCTTGTAAAAGTCAACGGATTCTTCTGTTACTCTCCTGGTTACAGAGCTAAGCTCTTATTAATGCCTAAGCAAGAAATATGGCAAGAAATTCAAGTTAAACAGAACGCAATCCCTTTAAACAGTAGTAAGTCGAGGGTAATTCCTCTGCAGTCAGTGTAAATCAATGAGTTTGCAAAAAGACAGTAAATCAGGGTTGCTATCAAGCGTTAGCTGCCTGGGGATTCAGAAGTTTGAACAGCACAAATGGATTTAGCAGAGTCCTCAGGAGAAATGGTACCTGGACCCACTTCAGAAAGATGTTTTCTGAGGCTGATTTAGTTGGGGGGTTTTTTTTGGGACACAAAACAAAGCAAAACCCTATATGCGACTGCTTTTTACTATTGGTAAAGATCTGCCCTGGAGCCAATTACAGATCCACAGGGACTTCTAATACTTTTAAATTTTCAATATTTCACATGCTGACTGTGTAAACCAAAGACCCTTCTCTTCCTAGGAACTGAATTAGGACTGTAAAACGCACAGTGCTGTCTTTCTCTGCAGCTCTTGTGCAAGCATTAATCTAGCATGTAAGAACTTTCCAGGGCAGAGGCTGAGCTGACCATGTTTGTTTACTAGCATTATTTCCAGTAGCTGTGACTGCATATGAATACTATGAATTTGGATAGGCAATGATCTCGTGCAACATCTGACTTAAGAAGATGAATGGAATGTCATGGATTCTACAGTGATCAGAAGACCTATTTTATTTTTTAAAGTAACTTGTAAATTGCCTGGAGATAGTATTTAGTTTGTTGTTGGGGTTTGTTTGTTTTGGGGGTTTGGGGGATTTTGTGGGTGTTTTTGAGTTGTGACTTTTTTCTTCTTGACAATATCACTTTTTTTTTGGGGGGGGGGGTTGTTTGGTTTTTGTTTTTGTTTTTGTTTTTTGCATTATGGCTGAGCCACTTCACAGTCCTCCTTAGATTCTGTACGTTGTGGAGCACGTACTTGGAGATAAAGCTGCTACAGCCACATGACTGCATGATAGCAGAGCAGTGTGGCCTTGGGACATCCAGACTGCTTTATTGAACTCTGGGATTCAGGTTCACCTCACTGTGCAGTCTCAGTTTCTCTAGCTGTTTGAAATTCTCCTTTACCAAACTGTATTCACATTTCCGGAGTCTAAGAGTGAAAAGAGTCCTCTCTCATCCTCAGAGCTGCTCGAATTTGTTTTAACTGGTAATGGTCACAGAGATGTTGCAAAACCTCAGCTGCTTCCATCTGCCTTTGCCAAGACAGCTTTGTGCCAGGAGAACATCAAAATTGATCCCATCACTTAATATATCCTGTCATCTGATTTCAAGAAGATATGGCAGAGAGTGGAGCTTGCATTAAACTCCATTGCTTGAATCAGAATTTTATGCTGCAGAAGACAGTATAAGCCAAAAAATTCTGGACCATATGAAGCCAAAAACAGCTCTCTCAAGACAGTTCTCCACATTCTTCACCTCCACCCACCACCAGGGAAACCTTAGAACGGGGAGAACTTATGGTCACTGTCTGTAACAGGGCCTCAGATTTGGCTCAAGTATTCCAGTGACATTTTACAGAATTTTTATTTTGTTTATCGCTGTTTATTGCTGAATGAAGCATTGATTAATGCAGAAGAAAAAGATGAAATCCCTGGACATTCATTTTTTTTACAACGCTTGTATTTCTTTTTCAAAAGAGCTGCTGGTAATGCTCATACTGTGTGGACTTCCACAGTGTGATTGCAGATAGAGACAGACTGTACTGGAATGACATTTTCTTCCAGCAAAACAGGGACAAACAAAAAAGGGGATAAAGGAAGAAGTAAAAGCACATCAGGAAAATCCTCTACAGTATGTGCTATGCTTTCTTCAGTTTTATAGCCATCAGCAAATTTGGTGGATGTATACAGATATAACCACTTTCAGCTTCCTTTTGGGGAAAAAAAAATAAAGCCAAATTTGCACCAAAGCCAGAAGCACCACAAGCATTTCTTGTCTACTGCCAGGTTAAATATAGTACATATATGAAGATACTTCCATGGCTACATCTGGACAACACTTTATTGAGTAATTTCCTTATTCTACAGGACAGAGCTTTCCTACAGCTGTTCACAAACTCCCATCTGCCTCAGCATCCACATGGGAGTATTGCTTAGCTTTCACATACTCCAGTTCAGCATAGTCTTCCTCCTCCACACTTTCTGCCTCTGGTGCTCTTACTCAGCTGCACACCCAAAAAGAAGTTGATGACCTTGGTTTGTATGTAGCTGCTTTATGACACAGGAGCTGTTTGCTCTTTCTCTGCATGTACCCAGTGGACTCTGGCAGCTCTTCTGCAGTTGTGGTACAGTACAGATATTCTCCCATCTTTGTTTCTCCCCTTATCTATATGCAGTTCATTTGCACGATGCAAATGTCTCCTTGCTATGCACAAATAAACTTAGACTGTCGTTGGTCAAAATACTGAGTCATAGTCTAATTGCAATTATGCTGAAAAATGTTAATTACATCTCAAGGTAATGGTCATCCCCCACTTAAATTGTCAGCTTGTTTACCAGATATACTCTTCTTGTGCATGTTCATCAGGCTGAAAAAACACACACAAATGCTCTCTGTGTCAGGGGGGCAGCACAAGACCAGCTAAGTGTGGGGAGGCAGGAGAACTGCTTTTGCCAGGGTGAAGGGATAGTTAAATGAATGTGATGTGAAGTCTGGGCCATGAAATAAATGATGTAGGTATGGCATGACCTCCGCTGCCACAGGGACACATGGCTGAATTAGGTAGTTTTTGGCCTGCAGAAGCTAACCAGGAAGCCATCCCTTTTGTCAGCAAGGGACCTGGACATGCTGACAGGGTGTATCTGCAGCCCCTTCTTAGCTACTTAGCAAAGTGTTTGCTGAGTGGAAGACCTGCATTTATACAGCAACACTGCAGTGTTGGAGCTGAGGGGGAGCAGCAGTTGGATTTTAGACAAAATGCTTTTGAATCAAGCTTATTATCTCTGTGGTTGTGGCTTTCTGAAGCTATCCCTTAAAACCAGCTAAAATATAACATCAGGATTGAGCTTCTTGCATTGGGAAACAGACCCTCTGCTGTGTCCTTAAAAATAATATAAGAAGAATGATTCTGGTTATTGTTTAGTATTGATTGCATAAATTAGATGTCACAGTGAAATTAGATTTGTCCAACATCAGCACCATCACAACGAACATAAAAAAGCCTCAAAGGTTTGTCAGACAACAAAAAAATGAGATACAAAGCAGAAATGCATTGATGGAAATGTTTAAAAGAACAAATCTATGCCACAAAGTTGGAGCTTCTCTAACACAAGCTAGTATTTGTTTTTCCAGGAAATGTACAGAAGCTAAAAGAAAAAAAACAAACAAATAAACAACAACAGTAACCAAAAAAAAACCACCACCAAAAACCCCAAACAAAAACAAACAAACAAAACCCCCCAAAATATTAAGCCCTATACGTTTTGAAATAGAAAAAAAAATTGTGTTTCAGCTTTTGGCAAAACCCCCACATTTCCAGTGAAAAAAAAGAGAACAGATTCATCTCTGGAAAACAAACACTTCTCACATTCTACCACAACTGCTGCTTTTCAACAGAAAAACAGGTTCGATTTAACTTCCAAAATACCTTGTGCTTCCTTTCTTTCTCATTTTTTTCCTACTTGTCAAGATATTCAAAAAGTCTTGATGCTGTCCCCAGCTTTCAGCTGCAGCTCCTGTCGGGATGAGCAGCAGCTTTGTGAGCTGGGAGGAAACCTGGGTCCAGGTTTTGGCAGAGACGGGGCTGCCGTGCCTGGGGTGGCTGCAGACCGGGAAGATGAAGCCCTTGTGTCCTACAGCTCCCCCTCCTCCTGCAGTCGCCGTTAGCGTGAGATGGCTCTGAAGCCAAAACCCGTGGTCACTTCGGAACTACCGAGGTTTCAAAATCAGCTGAGGCAAACCAGGATGGTCGAGGGGCTGCTACAAGTAGTGGGGCTGCTCTGAGCCACCCGGGGACCTGGTGTTAAGTACAGCCTACGGGGAAACCTGCCTTCTGCTCACCCTGTTCTCCTGTGAGAGAGGATTTCTGGGGAAACAGAGTGGGCTGTAATCACAGCAAAAGCCACGGGCAGTGGGCAGCTGCTGGCAGAGGCAGGCTGCTCTCGACATTATCTGTTTTACTGGGGAAAGCCGAGTGTGCTGCTGTGCTGCTCCCAGTGGGGAGGACAGGAGCTGGAAGGCAAGAATCCCTGAAAGCACGGGTCTCGCTCCTTCTGCCAGCCGCTGACAACGGAGGCCATGAGCCCAGATGGGGAAGGGCAAAGCTGTGTTCTGCCCACACATCTGCAGAGGTTTGAGAAGGCATCGTGTAGAGGGAGTTACATAAAGCCAAGCTGGTTTTTGTACAGCAGTGTGCACAGGTGGTTTCCTCTGCAAAACTTCAGCTGCTTCCATCTGCTTCTGCCAGGAGCTTTGTGCCATGAGGGCAGCAAAATGAATCAGATCACTGAACATATCTTGTCATCCAGTTTTAAGAATATGCACCAGAGAGTGGGGCTTGCATTAAACTCAGTTGCTTGAATCAGAATTTTATGCTGCAGGAGACAGTATAAGCCAAAAAACACAATTCTGTACCATATCAACCCAAAAATTTCCTCTCCAGGGCAAAACCACAAAGGTACAAATAGCACAGAAAGAGCAAAATCAAAATGCTATGAAGGATGCTGCAGAAATGCCACCTTTCCCAGGGGAACACACCAGAAGAAAAGGCTGTTCCACACCTTTTTGCCCTCATTCCTTGAGCTCTTTCAGGTTGGTGGGGTGTTGTCACAGAGATGCTCTGATGGCTCAGGCAGAGGCAGGGAGTTGGGGCAGAGTTTTAGGGGAGTTACAAGGGTGCCTTGTCCCTCTTTTTTTTTCTCAGGGCTCCACCAGCAATTCTGCAGCAAGCTTTGGTGCTACCTGGTGGGGAGGGCAGAGCTTATCCCTGCCAAGACGCTGTGCCACGGGACCAGGCTGGAGCTCAAGGTGCAGGTGAAACCTCTGCCTCTGGGACTGCCCCACAGCCTCGCAGACTCAAAAGCTCCTGATGGTTTGTGCCATCCCGTTTAGCATCTGTTGCGCAGTCAGAGAGAAGAAACACTGTTTCAAATACGAAGCACCAGAAAAGATCTACAATCTTGATGCTAGCACTAGATATGATGGTGTGCATTGCCACCTATCTCCCAAAATCTGCTGTGCGCGCTGTGCAGCCACAGGCTGGCAGGACTGCTTGCATCTCCAGTTATCTCCTGCATCTGATGGGTCTGTAGCCAGCATACAGCAGCCTG